ATGCCCGTCTGGAGATGGGAGTTTGCCGATTGAACCAGCCCCCATGCCAGACTCCTCTCCCCCCCTCCAGCTGTCCATAGGACTGTCGCTCTCAGCCGTTGTTTATGACGACCACAGAAATATCTGACAAAAGCAAAAAAACAAACAAAAAAACATCTTCATGCAGCCCGTTCCTCTTAGTGACATACGCCAGGATTTCTGCTTCACATGAGGTCTTCTACAAACTGCTTATTGTATTTATTATTATTTAAACAACAAACTAAACATCATTAAAACTGCCAGGTGCATTATGGGATATTTGGCCAGTCCCGAGATTAATCCTCATGCTCAGGCCCCCAGTTATCCATCCCCTATTTTTGTTGTCAGTATTATTTATTTATTTATTTTTAGTCTGTGGCTCCAGCCTGTCCTTGTACCCAACGTGAGTGTGACGGCTTTTTACTGAAGTCAAAGTAGTGCTTTCAGAACCGTAGGCTGGTTTGCTATGATTTTGACATTTGTGGATGTTGTAATTCGCATTTGCCGTTTCAGAGGCTGAACGATCCATTTGCTTTCGTATTCATAGCCGATTTTTTTTCCCTCGCTAGCCGGGATTATTCCCGTTGTTCAGCTGGTGCCTTGGGGTCGAGCTTATAATAGTCCACCAATTCTAATTTAGGTCAGTAATGATTTAGGTCAGTGGATTAGCTGATGTGCAAGATTGCGTGCTTACTGTAGAGTAGCGTAGAGCACTTTTCCTCGTTTTCGTTTTTTTGATTTATTTATTTTTTTGCTTGTTTGCCCTGGCAGAGGTACTGCATGTATTATCTTGCAGAGCTAAATGCAAAGCACCTCTTGCTACGGCAGTGGCGGGGTCTCCTGTGGCTCCCCACTCTGTCGTGTGCGGCGGCGGCAGTCGGTCGTCATCCCTCATGACTGCCTCCCGCCGCCGCAGCCGGCGGAACCGCGCGCGGGTGTGGGCGCTGCTGATTCGCAGTGGTCCCGTCCGCCGGCTTTCACGGCGATTTGGGGCGCGCCGCCGCGTCCTTCACGCTGCACCCCGGAGGTGACTGATGAAACGGCCGCAAGGCAGTCGCGTAATCCCGCCTCCTCCCGTCAGCTGGCGCGCGCCGCGCCGCGGCTGTTCCGCCGTTTCCTTGCCGTTTGGCACCGTGAAAAAAACGGGTGGCTGTTTTCTTTTGAAGCTGAGCCGTTCAAAACAAAACAAAAAAAGATGAATGAAATAAAGAATGTTTCGAAAAAGCGGAGTCCCAGAATTGCTCAGTGTTGCCGTTTAAAAATGTGCCACTTTGTGTGTGTGTGTGTGTGTGTGTGTGTGTGTGTGTGTGGGGGGCGGTTATTGGCCTGTCCCTCGCTGACTTCGTTAGCTGTCTCTCTCCCCATTTTTCTCCCGCCCCAGGCTGGCTGGACGGACGGAAGTCTGTCCGCTCCATGTAGAAAATGACGAAACGGCTTGGTGTTTCAAGCAAGCTCATGTGGCTGCTGACACAGGCATGTTTGCGGTGCTCCATCTTACTTTTAATATATTATCCCCCCACCCTCCCAGCCAGTTTGACTCGCATCTCACGCTCCGGCACGTAGCCGTTAAATAAATCCAACATAGGAAGTCGTTTCCCATTCGTTTGTTCGTCCGTGAGCATGCCTAGCTGGTGCTATTTGAGCCCAGATGGAACCAGGGCCTGAATACAGCCATACAGGCCCCCCCTCGTCACAGTCAGTCTCCGTGCCGGCATGTCGTGACGACGGTGACGGTCCCTTGGGGCGTGGCTAACCTGAAGCGTTGCTATCTACTGGAAAGATGGGGGGGGAAAAAAATGTTTTTCCATCTACTTGGTTGGGTTCTGTTTGAGCTGATTTTCTGTCTGTTAAGAGCTCAGAAGGGGCGAAGGGGGGGTCTTTTTAGCACACACTTGTGGCCCTCTCGCCTCTGCTCTGCTGTAGATCGATTGACTTTAACTATACATTTCCTAATCGATAAGGACCCAGATTCTCGCTTCCCAGGGGGATCTGTGTCCCCTGGCGCTGTGGCACAGTATCGGACGTGAACGAGCCAGCGTGCTATAGCACCCCCTATGAAGCCCATGGTGCACGTATTATAAGATGGCGCCATCAATAATTTCTTCCAAAAAGCAGTCATGATTTATCATTTTTGAGTTGCTAATGATCATGGAGTAACGATAATAATAATAAAAAAAAACGACGTCCTTAATAGCATTTTATTAACAAAAAGGCTGTTTCAGGAACAAAATAAACACTATTAGAGAAATTACTGGGCAAGAAAATATTTCAGAGCTGAGTGTTTATCATTTATATTTTGATGCATTTTTTATTGAGGCTTTTATGAATGGTGCCATTCCATAGGTAAATAGAAGAGATTGTCAATTTTTATTTGCGAGCAGTTATCTGTGAGGAGTGTGCCGTTATTGCCTGAGGTGAAGCCTCCATTGTCAAAGATGCCCCCCCCCCCCCTAGAAAGACAGTCGGCAGGTATCTATTTTTGGAGCCCTGGGCTAGTTGTTTACTTTTATTGCAGGTTTGATTTTGTTCTTCTGAGCTGGCTGTTAGCCTCCATAGTCCTGGTGCAGGTGGACATTTTGTGTGGTATGGACACCCCCACCCCATCGACTAGGGCGGCAACAGCGACCCAAGGATGGGCGTGCCTATCTGCAAAATAATTTGTGTTTTGTCATGGAAGGGTATCCATGAGGGGAAGGCAGAGGGTGGGGGATAGGTCTCGATGAAAACAGGGCGGGGGGGGGGAGGGGAGTTTTGTCTGCGCAAGCCGCTTTGAGCAGAGCCTGTATTTACAGGAGGAATAGGATGGGATTGTTCCTGGGATGGGAACAGAGAGCTGAATTGTGTGCCTGTAATCTGCTTACCTGGATCGCCAGTGCAGGGTTGAGCGACAGCCTCCGAGCAAGGACTGAGTCAATGTCACCGTGTGTGTGTGTGTGTGTGTGTGTGTGTGCGTGCGTGCGCATGCGTGGTGGGACAGTCGACCGTGCTGGCCGCGTCGGAGAGCCTGCGTTTGCGTTTTAAAACGGTGGGACAGATTCCCTAATGTTACCCACAGTCCACGTCAGACGTACAAAAAAAAAGGAAGGGAATAAGAAGCTTGGAAGTTTAGTGCCGTCGGTACCAGCGGACGAGCTAATTGCAATTAAATGCGCGACGAGGCAAGTGCGTTGTCAACTGGAGGGTGATTGTGGTGTGTGCGTGCAGGCGGAGTGTAACCACTCAGTCTGAGAGTTCCTCCTTCGTCTCTCTCTATTTCCCATTCTTTTCCTGGGCCCGTAGTCCTTAAAGGGCGCCGTGTTGTCTGGTGTGCGATAGCGGCAATTAAAGAAGCCTGGGGAAGATGGCCTCTAGGTAAGGTGCCTCCTGTTTCTCTCTTAGAATGGCCTCACACGCCCTCAACGAAGGTGGCCTTTGATTACTACCCCAGAGTGCACGGACAGGGGAGCTAAAAATACCCCGGGTGGTGCAGAAGGACAGTACCTGCCAGAAGATGTTGTTTTCAGTGACAGAATGTATACCTCAGCATTCGGAGGAGATGGAACACCCCCCCACCCC